ACACTTTTAAGTGGCTAGATTCTGGTACTCACATAATCCCATATATATCCGATTTTTTAATTACATTATGGAGAGTAAATTATAATGTACGATTATTTTTAACTGTAAATCGCAAATGACGTTAGATTTGTAGTGAATATAATTCAACGTCAGAGTTCACTCAAAAACTGGATTCACACAAGAGTTTGATTTGTAATTTTTGCTGTCAATTGTTGTTGCTTTCAATGCAAAATGAAAATTTTTGACAGGCAAAATTACAAAATAAAACTCTCGTGTGAATCCAGTAAAACGTAACTTAATTGGATTTATTATCCTATACACTGTGCAACTGTACATCTTTCCAAGATTATATGCCAAACAATAGTATGTGTTAACGTAAATAGTTGTGAGAATCTGAAATAAATGGCAGCAGCTATGACGTTTAAAAAATAGTGCTAATTTGATTTGATGCTTTATAATGACATCATTAGAAAAATAAGAATAATTTCTCAGATTTTTCTGACATTTGTCAGATTTGTCTGACATAAGAAATAAGAGTTATGATAATAGAGTAATAAAGAATCGAGTAATAATAGAAGTAGAAATAACAATAACCGTCGAACTGATAACCGACCGGATCACATCGCGAATATTAATCTCCTTGCTGAGGTTTACTCAAATAACGGATTCCGGTTTATGCTCTTACTAAAAACGCTAATATTAGGATTACATTATCGCAAAGAGGTCTTTTTCTTATAATATATGTAACGATTATCTTGAACTCCCTGATTTAATTAACTCTTTCCTTGAGCTTCTTAATCTCTTGACTTCAACACTGACATTTTACATCATTTCTATACTAATTATAATTTATTCAAAATAAACTTATTTCCCAACTGTTCATATACTTATTTCAGATTTAAATACCAATAATAATAAAACTATAATTCAACTTTTAAAAAATTTTACGAATCTAATGGATATATTTGAAAATGCACTCAGAGAAATATGCTCTAACTACACACCAGTAAAATTAACCTGATCATTTTGTTAGAGATATTTTAGCTCATGTGGTAAAGAAGATATGAAAATCAACATGTGGTGTGGTTGAACCAACATAATGGACAACTAAGAATATTTTGACCTGAGATTAAATTAAAATCTGGCTAAATCAACGAAATTATTTTTCTGAATGTGTTAAATATATTTTGATTCACTCTTAATAGACAAATATTCGCAACAAGTTGTCTTTACAAATTAAAAAAATTAATATTCACTGAAATAACTTACTAACAATTTATATTGATTATTAATTTTGTGCTTTCAGTTAATTAAGTTATTATAATTAATCCAATTAAATAAGTCAATTCAAATGACTTTTTAATGATCCATTCCGCTGAATCACTTAAAACCCAAGCCTATTCTACTAGTTCCCTTGTTATACAATTTGGGTTTATTTCATATATTAACAATTATTGGAAGTAATAAAAAGTTAATTTTCCTAAGGGTTTTTCTAAAACATTTTTTATAAGTGAGTTTTTAAAGTTCTTTGACATTTCAAAAAAATTGTTAAAAATAAATCTTTAATTTTACTACTGGGTTTTTGAGTTCAGCGTATAAATTTTTTCTTCACTAATATAATTTATAAATACCCTATTTTTATATATTGTTTCTTAATTAACACAGTAAACTACTTAATTTAATTTTGAAATGTTTATATTATCGTAATTCTTTAAGATTCTTACTACTTCAGTAGAGGGCAGAGTAAGTTTTTGATTTCATCAAAATAATTTAATAATTTAATATACGTGTTAATTACTATCAATTATCACTTATTAGCTAAAATTAAAAAATTTTAACTCAAATATTGCCCTAGGTCAGTCTTATTAATTTTTTATGTTCATATTATAGTAGGTAGGTTCTTTTATTTTAATTCTTAGGTTTTTAACTTGTATTTTAAAATAATAATAATATATTTTAATTAATTTTAATTAGAAATCATGAAATAATAAGTTTATTGCTGTGATTTTTTCACATTAATTAAACGATGATACAGTAGTATACGACAAAATTGTGATTTTTTAAATAACTTCCATGAAAATAATCATTTCACATAAGAATTAAAATTGCATAAATAAATATATATATTATAGATGTTATTACTACAGGTACTTTCTATTAAAACAATTGTCTTTTTTCCCCCTACAATATCCACAATTCTAATGAGTTCTGATTGCCTTATGAGTAATAGTTGTTTAACAAGAATAGGTATAATGTTTAACTCATTCAAAAAGTTTCAATAAATTTTGATTTTTAAATATAAATTCTATTACTATTATTTACAATGCAACAACTATTACTCATAAGGCATTAAAGGCCTTATTAAATAAAGAATATATCACTGCGTGGGTCTTCCCCAACCAATCACCATCATTTTAAGTTGATTGACTATTGAACAAAAACGAAATTAGGGAATTCAGATGGACAATTTAAATGAGTCCATCTTAATTATTAAATTAAAATTATTTAAACATTGACTATTTACTACGGACAATTGTAATATCGTATATAGAACAGATAATTAATAAAAACAATATTATTATTTTAAACAAAGACTATTAAATTTTGATAAAAACTATATATATTTACATTTCCAAATTAGAAATTACTTATTCTAGTCAAAATTGTGTATAATAAAAGTTGTATTATAAATTGAATCAATTACTGTTGTATTCTATTTAGTTTTAAATGGTCTCAGAATTCACTTTCTACATGAAACAAAGCTTAAGAGTACATATATATTAGATAAGACCTATATATTTTCATTCGTATATTTCCATTTTTAATGCTAATTGCATCCAATATTCATAGATTGCCCAAGTATTTTTCAGGTAATGAGCTACTGAAAAGCACGCAAAATCTTTTTCTGTATGCGAAGTTTAAAACATAAAAGAAGATTGATTAATATATTACTTATTAAACTTGTATTACTCATATCCAATCTAACATAATCAATATTAAAAAATCCACAATAAATAAAAACATATTTTCAATAAGCTAACACATAGTCCTCGCAACCCTGATGTGAATATATATCAGATGTTCAAATAAATTATAGTTTCCACAATTAATTAATTGATATCTCTAACTTTAGAAGCTAAAGTACTATACTAAATCTTTATACATATATAAGTAATGCTATAGATTTTATAAAGAACTGAGTATAGTAATACATATGAGAAAAACAATAACAAAGATAAGGCGAAGAACAAAATAAATTATCACCATAACGTATTTTTAAAGAATTAATAAATCCGAGAGCAATAAAGGTGCTGAAAAACATTGAATTAATAAAATTAGAATATCTCTCTAACTAGTAACTAGAAAAGATGAAATGTAACATAATATTATTCTTCAAGTCAATAACGAGTATGATACTCACAGCAAAAATAATGAAATCACTAGGGAAACCACAGAACAGAAACTCGAAATGGAAAAATATATTTAGAATATATAGAATATATGAAAGGTAATATTACTTATAATAATATTACGTATAATAATAAAATAATAAAAACCAATGTGAACAAAACCATACAGAAAGTCAAAGTAGAAAATTATATCTGTAATTTTGTAAGATGAGATGAATAATTTCATATATCTGGAATCAAAGATAAACAGAAACAATTATGTCAACAGAAACATAGATCTCAGCACCTTAGGAACCAAAACCTGGACTAATAAGCAATAATTCAATTTTATCAAACATCAGTAACCGCAGTTCTAATGTATACCATCAAAACGTAGACTCAGAAATACACAAACATGAAAATGTGAATCTCTTGGAAAGAAAATGACTTATAAGAATATATGGTCCAGTAAAACGAAATAAAATTTAAAGATAATGATATGATGACATGTTAAGTACCTTATGTAGGACAGTAGATATTGGAATTACAATACACATCAAAAGGCTATGCTTCGCCAACTATATAATTATCAGAGGTAATCAGTAGCATCTCCAAGTATATTGTACTCACTAAGATGGTGAGTTAGTCGACTTTAATGCAGTTGACATAATTGTGAGAATCTGGAAAACAATTGCTATTATTATCTATGGATAAAAATGGATTAGTGAAAGCAAGTTATAATGGAATCGTATACCCAAATCTGGATTATACAGCTAAAGATCATGGCATTGATGTTATAAACTGTTCTTAGTAAAATGTGATTAAGTATAATCACGTCATAGTTGATATACTTTTCTCTCAAACTTTTATTAATATTAATCGATTACTCATAAAATTAATGTGCGGTATATTTTAACAGTTGCAAAGATTATGTCAAAAGAATTAAAAGACTCGTTTACTAGTAACAAACTTCGCATACAAATGACACATAAATAGAAATAGTTTACGAAAATTTTGGATAAATGAGGTTTTATAATAAAATTATCTAAATTTTTTTTAAAAAAATCAACCTTGTACCACTATAATTTTTAATCTCATTATAGTTTGAATACATTAAGCAATAATTTATAGAATAAATTACTACACTAAATTACTACTAAATACTACTAAATTAAATAATGATATATGACTAATACTATTTCGCTGTTCTAATTTCAGATTATTATTCTTAATAGTTTTATGTATTCAAATACAAAATAATTTTATTATATTTTATATATATTTTAGATACAAACTTGTAGGAATGTATCAATCATATCGTCAGCCGAAATGCTTTTGGAATATTGATAGTTTTTTTGGCCAAAAATTATTTTGGGTAGACTTTACCTTAACACTCTATACATTAGTTAATATCAAATACTATACAATAGATAATAGTTAAATTAATTAATTAGTAGTTGGAAATAATTAAAATTCCAACTCTTCTAATACACAAAAAATTAAATGGAATCATTTCCGGCACTAATCTCATTTTATTTGGGAATATCCTTGAACGTATCTGCCAATATTGCAATGCATATGAAACTAATAATATTACTTTTTTATTTCACATTCTTTATTAGTTTCTAACTTATATATATTATATCTACATTGGTTATTATTATTGTGCTTCTAATTAGTTATCATTTGTCAAATTATCCACCTGATGACTTTAATACAGCTGGACTTAATAATGGACTAATATCGCAGCATTTTGTACAAGGTGATTCATTCGGATTACAACAATCTTTGCAAAGAGCTGGATTTGGTGTTGTTGCGCCTTTTGTATCATCCCTGAAGCTGAAATTTATTACATTACAATATATAAGTAGATGTCTTTTGTAGATGTCTTTGAAACTAACCTAGGATCAGATACTAGCAATGGTACAAATTCAGTATCTACTGAAGTCTTCGCTGGTTGATTCAAAGAATTTGTTTGTTGTCTAAAAACTTCTCTTGGTTGTGGTTCATTGGGCTGAAGGGGTACGAATTGATTTATACTTCCATTAGAACCCGTTCTGGTATCAGAATTTGTTAATGGTACAAAATCATCACCAGCAGCTGAATTAGTTCTTGGATGAGGCAAAAAATTTGTTTGCATTCTGAACAATTCCGGTGGCAATGACTGATTGGGCGACAACGGTACGAACTCATCTCTACCTTGTGGCTGTTGATTATTTAGGGTTTGTTGTTGAAATTGTGGTGGAAATGAATTCAATTGTTGCTGTCTTGCTGGTACAATTGATGTATAATACTTTATTGGTTGTAACTGTTGTTGTTGATTGAAATTATTTTGTCGTTGTAATGCATCTCGAGCTGGTGCTACAGGAAAAAGTGGTATTGCATTCCTTACTTCCGGCTCCAATGCTTGAAATTGAAAATTTTGTTGTAATTTCGGTGGTGGACTTATAAAATGGACTTGGTGATTGGGAAAATTATTGTTAGCACTGCTAATTTGCTGGAAATTTTGTTTTTTCGGATTGATTGGTAATTGAACGAATTTTATATTTACACCTTCATCAACGTTAGAAAGTTGTTGTCCATTGAATCCTAGATGTTGCACTAAAAATTGTGCATCGTTGTTATCTTTCGTAAAATGTTGCATATCAACGTATATCAAAAAATTAGAAATTAAAAAAAATATTGTTGCATATTGATTCGTAGTTGAAAACATTTTTAAATTATTAGTTTTCAAACACGCAAATATTCAATTGAAATAAACGCAATTAATTTAATCACACAAAACAATTTCACTTTAAATGCAATTAGATACAATAAAATGTATATTAATTTTATTTCTATTTTCCTCCGTTCGATTATTAACCGCTTTGACTTAGACGAGCCGACAAACTGAGCCAACTAACTGGATACAAGGTAGTCAGAAGTAGTAACTAACGATTCTCTTTCAATTTGGCATTTATACTTGTAACCTGTATATATTGTTTACTTTTTTAAAAAAAGATTTCTATCTAATTAAAATTCAGTAATTCTTACCTGAAACGCTATTGTGAGCATCATCTAAAGTATAAATAATGTTAGAAGACGTTGACAAAGGCTTATTTGCCCGAGCTATTAAGTGGGAAAAACTCATAAAACAAAACTTGATCTACCAATTTTTTTATACATATACATATAATATAATGACGAAGTTATTTTTCTTTTATGTTAAGATTAATAATATCTTTATTGGAATAAATCTATTTGCAAATGAATTTTTTTCACAAATCTTTAAAGTAGCTGCATAATTAATGAAACCACTTAGGCAAGACTTTTAAGCTAAGAGTGACGTTTTAACTCAAATACAACAGATGTTGATTTATAAAATAAACAAAACTTTCATTTAGAATTATAGCAATATTTCATAAAAATTGAATGGAACTAATTGAAATTTGTTTGTTTATTTGTTTATTGTAATTAACTGAATTTAATCTCGTTTTCAGATTATTAAATTTTAAGCTATTCGATCAGTTTTGTGTTTATTAATATAAAACTTTATAAGCTAATTTAAATCTTTATATATTGTAAACACCATTTAAAAGAATAGCTTACATACTATATACTATATCAGCTATATATAGTGTATATGTTTTGGATCTGTACATAAAAGTTTTTCCCAATAAAATTGTAAAGAGATGTTCTAGCGAAATGTATGATTTATATTTAATTTATTTAATATATTTAATTTACGGTAGTCACTACTTTACTTACAAGAAACTTTTGTATTCAATGGAGACTTTTTGAAAAATAGTGAGCTACAAGAACAAAAATTCTTTTTTATATTATTTTTTGAACAAAATAGAATTACAATGGAAATACTTAGAACAATATATTAAATTTCCAGTCTCCCTTGTACGAATCATAGATTAGCATTAGCATGACTTTCTCCGTATTACGTTTCTAGATTAACTTAAATACACAAGAACGACTAATACATAATCTTATAATAAATAATGAGTCTATAAAAGACTAGTGTTAAAATTTAACTATTAATAATAAAAATATAACTAATTAATTTAATTATTCTACAACTAATTTATGATTTCGTTTTAATATAACACAGCAAGTGAATTTGTAAATGAACTTTTACAATAAATTAACAAAAATCTAGGTTCGAAAATACAAGTCTAGTATGGCTTTGGGTCAGTTGGCTAATGAACGCTGATTTAAAGCTTAAAATTTGGTAGAGTACGAGTTCAACCCTTAATAATTGCCGTCTTAAAAAATTATTAACTACTACTACTGTCCACTTTCCCTAGTAGAGCACAGGGCCCCAAGAATTCTTCGAAATCTGACTCTATTTAGTGCTTCTCTATAGATGTCGATCCATATATTTCGTGCTTCAACTTCCTGTAAATGGTGTATATAGTGTCAATATCAAAATAAAATACAAAAAAGAATGACAATCCTCCAAGAAATTACGAAAACAGAACAATTGTTCTTGCCCATTGTGAAGAAAGCGTTTTCGTCCCTTAAAACTCATGCAATATTTTCCAAACGAAACGTACCTTGTATCAATTTCTTTTTACTTTTTATCTATCCATCATTTAATTCAATTTGATGGATTATTTGGAAATTTTTTTTTGGTACAAACATCTTTTGAACGTCAAATAAAAATCGGCCTTCCTTAGGATTCTTTAGATCGATGGTAAGACGATCTTTATTGGAATATCAACCAAAAATAACAATTAATCGTGTTATTGCTATTACTGAGACCTTCATCTCAATCGTATGTATTTGACTACAGTGTATTATTTTTAAATTCAGTCAAATGGTTTCTAGTGTTTCTTTTGACAATAAATATCGACCGATAAAAAAATTATTAAAATAGTTTTATAATAGGAATGAGTGCAAATTTAAGATTGCTTATAAAATCAAAAAAAAAAAATATGCGCCAATAAGCATTTGCCTTATAATCAAACATAGAATTTTTCTATTTAGAAATCATCCTATTTAGAAATAACGTAGTCATGACTGTTATCAAAATTTTAAACAATTACCGAGATACGGAGTGTTTAATAAATCCCAACAAAAAAACTTTAGACAAAAAATGTTTAATATCTTCAATAGAAAAAGTTTAGTTTATATACTAATCTTAAGTCCATTACAGATTTAAGTGTGTGTTGTACACACTTAAATTTAGTAATTTTAAGTTTAATAAAGTGCTCTCATCTAATTCTCTTCATGATTAAAGCACATTTGCTTAAGGGGTATGCCCCTCTGTGACATTTGGAGCAGTGAAAGAACTATAAAAAGACTATTGCATCCACAAAAAGTAGTTTTATGGATTTGATTACTAAGATCATACGATTTGTCACTACTGAATACTATTTTGCGCAGTTACGCAAAGGATCATGTTTATGAAGAGATCTCTCAAACTATCGATGCTATGAAAATATATACCCACCAAGTTATGTCCATATTATTTACAGCTAGGTGTCGACAAATCACCTCAAAAGAAATCAGCACTGTTATAGAGCACAGCATTTAAATGATGTTGTTTTTCAGACCTTATGACAATACTCAAACAATATTTTGAAATGAAAATTTGTTCAATATCTCAATCACAAGTCCATTTTATTTACATTTGCTTTTGGAAATATAAAATGGATAACCCTGTATTATATTGAAAAGAAATGCCCACAGTCAATCATATTCAACTAACTTTGAAATATATCTATAGATTGATGTTGTGTAAATTACGAAACGATTGAGAACTTTTCTTATCATATATTCAATTTACTTGATTGAAAGACTTTTCAGTTTAACCTATTTTGTACTGGGTATAATTTTTAGTCAACTATAACACGCATTATCGTAAGGAATTAAGAGCACATGTACTTTCTTCAAATTATTAGCTTCTTTTTATTTTGATTGTTCTAAGATATTTATTTACACAAAGTGATTAAAGGTGCAATAAAATTATAAAAAATAAGCTGCCTTATCACTGGCAATTTTACCACTTCTGGCTGTTGACTGGTGTTAATTTTAATTTAATTATAATTCTTCATTTCATTCAGATTTGTTTTGTTATTCGAAGTGAAAAGCTACGTTAACAAGTTAATTAAATATTCTAATTAGACACAAATGAAGAAATATATATGCATATTTATATAAAACATTAAAATTTTATTTTAGTTACAAAAATTATAAACATTAATTAAAAATAATTAATAATTAATTATAATTAAATTTTTAAATAATTAATAAAATATAATATATAATAATTAATATAATTTAAAATATTTCAATTTGTTAAATAGTATTACTATTAATTAAATTGAAACTCAATTTTACAAGATGTAAATAAAAAATTATATAAAATATATTTTAACTATAACCAAAGTGAGTGTAAATAAAATTACACATTACAAATATGCTCGATAAGAGTACTTCAAATTTAATAATCAGTTCAAGTGTTGTGATTAAAAAGTGTAAATATCTTTTATTATTTAATCGAAAAAACAAATAAATTAAGAGTTCAAATTAAAATTAATAACAAGAAAAATAATTGCAATCCAAATAATATTTAAAAGTTTGAAGGTAATTATTTATAAACTATAATTACGCGAATTCATCGCTTCTTATCAGTTTCGTATGAAATTACTTTTATCAAATTCTACATTTATAGTTTTTGTTCTGCAATGACCGATTAACATAATTTTGTTAATAACATTTTATCACAAACAAAAAATTTAAACAAAATGTTGTATCTATAAAAAACCTACAAGTCAACTTTGAAATTGTTTTTATGGACTTTTCGATAGAACATGCCTCAAATCAAACTATAACATACTAAATATTTTTGAATCTCATTGTAAATCTTAATATACGTAATATTTGATTAATGTGTTTTATATATATCTAAATTTAACTTAATTATAGTTTCGCATTAATTATTAATAATAAATTAAAAATCAGAAACAATATATTACAAAACAATTGAGTTAAGTTAAAGTTATTACCTTTTATATATTATTAAAATCATAATATAAAAAAAGTTTGAGATATACATTAATTTCAAGATGTCTGACTAAAAGTATGCCAATAACAACCTTGAGGGATATCACTTCCATCTTAAGTGGTATTTTAAGTGTATTGAGCTTGAAGAATTCGACACTTAATATAAATGTCTGATTTTGAGCTATTCGAATAGTCGTTAGATGGACCATAAATGATGGTAGAATTTTTTCGGAGTATACTATTTAAGAAACCTAATACATCAGTCAGGAACTTCTCATATTAATTTCACATAAATAGCTGATATTCACATCTAGAAGTATATAATTTATTGCTGTTTTTTAATTATTTTCCTTAAGATCTTATCTTGACTCTCGTATGAAGTTTTTTTTATTACTAAGTTATTTGGTTTTTGGCAGTTAATAACAAGAATTATATCAAGTATTGCACTTATTATGAAATTGATAAAAATACACGCTCTTTACAAACTTAAGTGGCTCATTAAATAATTGTAAAATTATATCTGACTACTTTAGAATTATTATGTAGTTAAAGTCTGCCTCTTATATAAAATCAGATAAGTAAACTACTTCAAGCACATTTAAAGTATATACAATATTTCACAGAATTTCATATCAAGCATAAAATAATAAATCACTTAACAACTAAGCAAACAATTAAAATATTAGTGAATATAATAAAAGTTAATAACATTAATAAAAAAAACATTCCATTCATAAAAATTTTCTCTACGAAACCTGAAATGAACAAACGAAAAATAATTTGTTTAAATATTTTCAATAACATCTATTATATTCTACAATAAAAGAGATGTATGCAAAAATATAGCATTAGTTTTTTTATAATTCCTTGGAAACAAGAAATATCTTAAATGGGTATGATTTTATGGATATTTTTACTATATGTTTTGTTGAGTTAGTCTCTTTAATAATTATTTAATGACGAGAACTTCATAGCAAATTTCCTCACCAATAATGCTTCCTTAGTTCCTCTTTGAGATAGAAGACCAAGTAATAAAAATATCATAGGTGAAGTACTAAGCTATAATGATTAATACAGAAATTAACAGCTTTAACATCTTACTATAACTTATAAATATCATTATAATATTGATTGTGATCCTTTAAATTTTGTTTAACTTTTCATCCTTCTCAACATTTCGTCCTTTGTCATTTAAATATCACATATTAAATTTTAAATATGTAGCGGAATAATTTAATTAATTTTTGTTTATATTAAACACATTCTTTTTTAGATCTCCAGAGTTCCTACAAATTTATCTAAAATTTTCTCATTATCAATTAAGTAAATACATAGTTTAATATTAAAACCAAATATGAAAGATACTCAACAAAATCAAGGGGTACATCATAACGGTGTTTATGAGATGACCAAAGAAGAACCATCAGAAACAGATGATCCGTTTCAGGATTTAATGGAAAAAGCTGGCAATCATGGTCGTTTTCAGTTAATTTATAATATAATCTTTGTGATGGGTCTAGCAGGTGCTGGTGCTATGACTTATATGAATATAATTTTAGCGTTAAATATACCTGATCATTGGTGTACAGTGCCAGGAAGAGAAAATACAAATTACACATTAGAAGAGTGGAGGAATCTTACATTACCTTTGTAAGAAGTGCAATCATTTTTTTAATATTAACTAAAAAATAACTTTTTTTTAATTTTATATACATATAGAGAAAAGGATAATCGAGGCCTAGAAAAATTTAGTAGCTGCGAAATGTATAATACAAGTTTTACAAATATCATGGATGGGAACTTATGGAATAATGTCACAAAACCGAATGTAACAGGTAAGATAAACATTTTTGAAAAAAAACACTCATCTGCAATTGATTTTCTATTGAGAGTTAAATTATTATTATTATTATTACACCATTATTATTATTATAATAATATTAAGGGCATTGCACTGCACATAGAAATCTATTGTGCCTCTGTCATAGATTTAGAATATTCTCCAACTTCAACAATTAATAATAATATTGTAACTATAGTACAGATTTTTATTTTATACGTTATATATGCCCACTTAGTTACTTCTTTAGTTTCCAGTATGTATTTTGAAGTTTAATCATGGGTTTAATTCTGTAATGAACCTATATAACAATGAAAAGACCAGTTAGGTATTTCTTTTATTTTTGTGTTCAAAATTTAATCATTGGTATTTTTCAATTTTATTCATATATATTTACAAATTTAAAGACATGTAATAGTTCAAGAATATTATCACTAAAAATTTTTGAAATAATTTAATAGATGTGAATGAAATTCCTAAGCCATACTACCAAATAGGTCATAGAAAATGTTAATATTTTTGAAATCAAATTCTTTAGAGAATTGAACAAAGTAAAAAAATACATTTCAACTATTTGTTTAAAATATAAATAAATAACTCAAATAAAATAAATAATTCATATAAATAAAAATACAGAAAATTGTACAAAATTATTCATAGCAAAAATTTCTAAATCCCAAAGGTAGCAATTGGAAGTACCTCAAAATTTTGCAAGAAATTAAATTAAAATACCTAGAGTTTTATATCTTAAAGATTATTATTTAAATTGCAAATATTTTTAATTATTATAACATATTTGTAATTTGCAAATTTCTAAAATTTTAAATGTAATTTAAAATTTCAAAAATATATGAAAGACGATTAAAAAAGAAAATTAAAACTATTACTATTAATAATTCCAGTAAGCTCTTACTTATATTGGACATTAGTATCTTTTCACTTCAATGTTTTAAATAGCTTAAAGGAAAATAAAATTATAATAATGGGAAAAAATATTTGAAAAGATATCTAAGTCCGAGGAAAGTTTCAGCATTTGCAACGCATTACTTTTTACAACTTTGCACTTTAATGCGTTTCACTTATGCCGCACTTTTTATTTTATTATTTAACTTTATTTAATTTTCTGCAATGGCATCCGTACAATTTTATTTTAATTTTTCCTTTTTTTTCAATTTTTTTGTATCTTTTCTATTTTTGACATCCCCCACAAACATCTACAAATGGAATCATCCTTACAACATTCTTTCATTGTGTATGCACGTGTATAGTTTGCCAACATGGTTGGAGTTATGATCAGACCTGGTACGAGAGCACCATTCCCACACAGGAGAATTGGGTTTGTTCAAAGGATTTGTTTGTAACAAATGTTTTTGTTGTTGGACGCGTTACAGAAGTTGTTGGTGCATTCGTGCTAGGACAAATGGGTGACATGTAAGTTTGCTTACAAGGATTTAACTAAATAAAATATGAACCTAAACTGTATGAACTATTAATGCAATTTCTATTATTTCTTTCCGTTTTTGTTTTTGCTTTTATTATTTGTTTCTCTTTATTCTGAAATTTATTTTTCTCTCTTTATTTATTTCTTTTATTTAGTTTTGGTCGTCGTCCAGTTTACTATATTAGCGTTGCTTTTTGTTCATTAGGTCGCATGCTATCCATTTGGACCACAAGTTCTTATACTTGGTTTCTAATATTTACGGGCTTTGCTGGTCTAACCGTTAATAGTTTATTTCAATCGCCTCAAATTGTTGGCATGGAAATCTCAAGAGAGTAAGTATATTAACGTATATTCTACACATATAATATTTTAGGATTTAAATTTTAATACATAATTCACTGGGACATCTTAGTATTTTATATGTTTAACTGTCTTTTAAGTATACGATTAATATAAATTGTTTGTAAGATTCGTTTTTCTTTATTATGCTATATAATATCTTCTAAAATATTTTAAGTCCTTTTATCTAAATGGATTTAAAATAAAATTTAGTTTAGATCATATAAATTTATTATGCAAAATCAAAAATCATTATAATTAATCACAAATAAGAAATAATGACACATATTTAAAACTAAACTTTAACTGAAAAAAATTGACCCATAACAGACAGTATAATTATTATTTGAAAAAGAAAAATAATATATTTCTTACACATATAAAATATATAGTCCGTAAAAAGATTTATTTTATCACTATATAATAAATATAGTAATAATAATATTATATATTAATATATCATTAATGATAATATAATATTTATAATAATATAATAATAAGTAGAGAAGTACAAAATATAAATGGAAGATTTATGACAAAAAAAGTGGAAGAATCGCATTAGATAGATGTAATTATGAAGTCATTTTCGTATTTACCAAAAACTGTAAACAATAGTTTTTTTGAGTAAGAGTGTGATGTCCCCACAACTAAGTAATAATAATCAAAAACAGAACTAGAAAGAAATGCTTTATTGAGATCCTTTGCCTTATGCTGACTGAAGAAATTATCAACAGCTCGATAATATTGCTATGCGTATAGGTACTCACATTCCCAAAAAGCTTTTATATTAATAGTCACTTTTCTGATTGAAATAATTGAAATTTATGTTCTTTTAATATTATTATATTTGAAGTTAATTTTGCAATCGAAGAATAACCAAAAATAAAAATCGTGTGCTAATTATTTTCACAAATCATTCCTTAGAAAAAAGCACTTCTCACGCTATTATCATATAACATCGAACAAATATAGACTCCCCAACAAATTAGTTGGAATAAAAATAAAATATATTATAAAATGAGTTGAAGAAACTTTGAAAATGATAAGAATTATAGTACATCACACGAAAAAAAAACACAAGTAACCTTAATATATAGGCGCCTTTTTATTAATTTATTGATTTATAATTTTATGGCTTTGTAGAATTTTTGGACTTAAGATATAAAAATCTTATTCAAGGTCTCTGTTAAGGTGTTGCCATAAAGATTACTTTAATATAATTTGAAAACACTGGTTCATAAAACTGTTGTTAAATGATACATAAATGATTATAAATATTTTGAAAAGTTATATATAACTAAAAGCTTAGTGTATTGTTTACAATAATATTTATAATAAGATTTTTATAAATACTATAGTCTAATGAATTGTTGTATAATGTATAAACTTATTATAAACACAGATAGTATATATAAGTTGGTATACGTAAATAAAAAAATTACTTACATTTATAAAAAGTAGATAAAACTGCTACAAATATATAGGTGGATTCAAACTTGGTTGTGAGAACATCATTTAAGGACTTTTACATTACAATATTATATTATTTGCCATAAAATAAGCCATACAAGCTTATGTTATACATAAGCTCGCAAAGGTATACGAAGCAAGATGAATAGAACGACAATCAGTATTATATGTGGCAACTAAGTGATGCTACTAGCCTTAAGCTCACACCTTCAGAAATGTTGGGCATTTACCTTTCAAACTAGTTTGAAAAGGAACACCACAACAACATTACTGTATGTTGACTTCTGGAACACAACAGCAACAAATGTAACAAAAAGACTTATATTCTCTGCAAATCAGGAGTCCAATGTCAATTTATTAAGTCTGAGCTAATCTATAATCTGGCGGGATCAAAATGAAAAACTGCAGTTATTGGAAAGAATATTAATTAAAAAATTACGGCATAAATACTTAGAACCAAAGACAGGCTAATTCATACATAAATCCATCTAGTGTGTTCTTAAATGGACTCCTTGCACTAAGCATAGAGGATATAAAAATTTTGAAAATGTTTTGACTAAGTATCGCAAATTGAGGGCCGATTAACTTAACTAGCACTTAAAAGACTAGTAACTGCTGTTTTTTGATATATATGATGAAAAATCTAAACACAATGATTAGAACTGACCAACATGTGACATTCTCAGCCAAGGTTTTGAATTGAGCAGGAGCAAACTTATAAATCTTGGGTAAAGACTCTTCACCCTTTATAATATATGAAAGAAACCAAAAACTTGAACGTTGCTAACGTTAATTAACAGCCTAATAATAATCGATTAAATAACTGAGGTTAGCACAATGAAGCACCTGAATCTTGGTGTATAATTTTCCCGATTTTAAAATAAAATTAGAAACAAGCAATGATATTTTTTTAAATGGTTTTGGAAACTCATTTATTTGAATTTTTGTTAAAAGAACAATGTACATAACTACAAACTAACCCAAAGCAATAACTGTCCAACAATAATCAATATCTTTGAAAATGACAAACCTCATGGGAAATCTTATCGTTCTAATCCACTTTATTTTTAATTGTACTTCTCTTCATATATAATTTCACTTCTCTCTCATCTTCTTTTTTTAATTTTATTCCTTAATCCTTTCATTAATTTTTTATTTTCTTCATTTTCAGAAAGGATCGCAGTGCAATTGCTTTTTATCAAAGTTTTGGCTGGTCCATTGGTACAACGGTGATGCCATTACTTTTTTGGTGGCTACGTGATTGGGAATCCTTTATGTGGTACACTTCAATACCAACGGCACTGGTTTTGCTTTTTTCCAAGTACGTAAGCACATCCTCACACATGCAACTATGAACTATTTTTAGGGAATTCTTGTGAATGTAGTAAAATCGCGAGTATGGAATAGTGCATCTTTTGGTTCCATGGCACGTTTGCTGTTAAAAACTAAAGTCGAAAAACAAAAGTTGGGAGAAGAAAAAATTCACTTGGCATAGTTGGCATTTGTAACATAGCAATTTTTTGCTTTGTTCTTGCTAGGCTAGGAATCAAGTTCATTTGTGTGACTTTCATTGAAGCACATCGGCTTTGCATTGACTCGTTTGATATGTGAGCATCAAATTGGAAACATCCAAGTCAATTCAATTGTTTTCAATTTCTGTTTGCCATTCCTAGTTTTTTGCATTTCTTTTTTGGAATTAGTCTTACAGTCAAAAGCTACAATTTTCGCGGGTATTCCCACAGCATCGATACTTTGAAGTATTTTACTATAGTTTCTATAAATATTTAAATACAATAATTTTTAAGTGAACATTTTTCAAATTATTAAATGAATTTTACTCATAAATTAAGAAAATTGACATTGTTACCATAAAAATAGATACCGATTTTAATTAAATATCAATTGTATAAAGTCGTAATTGCCGATATTAGCTATTCTCTATTCGATTGAATTTTTTTGCTTACTCAATTTAATTTTCCGCAGATACGTCATTGAATCGCCACGTTGGTTGATTAGCAAACGTCGTTTTGCCGATGCCATTGTGCAATTTAAGAAGATAGCGAAAATAAATGGTCATCAATTCGATGTGACGGAAAAGGAATTAGCTGGACTTTACAAAGGAATGGATGCAGAGCCAGTATACGGTATTGCTTCACTCTTCAACGGCTGGCGTTTGGCGCGTAATACAACAATTATGGGCTTTTCTTGGTAAGATGTGTGAAAATTTAATGACTTTTTATAGAGACAATATAGGTAACTTATTGTATTATTATGCAAATACAAGATTCTATTCGAATTCAAATCGGATTTTCTAAACATAAGTATTTATCAAAAATGGAATTAACTATTCCACTTACTGCATCGGTAAAATAGATTCTCCACTAATATACTATCAAGGTTTTTCGACTTTTAAACGAATAGAACCGTCTGACATGCTAGTAGCTTTTAGATTGACAAAAAGCTTTGCTTTTTATGAAATATATTTTTCAGAAAACAACCTTTAGCATAATACTAAATAATAATAGATCGGGAAATATATCGATGAATGAGATCAAATCTTGATTTAATATACAAGTAATCTAATTGTAGAAAACAAACCGTGCACAGATTTTGTGATGCACAAAATATATTTGGTGGCAATATGATAAACTAAAGTTTCAGTCGTGCTCTATTTTCATTTCCATTAAACCCAATAAAGACTGCATACGGCACGGTTTACTATTTACTCTATTGAAAAAAATTAATTCAAACTTGAAACAATTATTATTATTTTGTTGAAGCTGTTTGAGCCAGTGCACTTAAGCACTGTTACTTTTTTGTAACTCGAGGTGTTTTCAAAACCCCTCTTTACGCCTTGACTACATTATTGTTTATCACTTCATCAGACTAAGCAATAATTGACGTCAGATCTGCGTACCTCCCCGAGGAGCCTGTAACCATTCTGAGATTTGATTACGCGGTGTTGGTAAGTCTGCCAGTTTTCGCAAATAATTTCAGGGCTCCATCCTTTATATAT